CTTACTATATATTCCCAATTTCCCTGTTGTCTCTGTTGCATAATTATGGTTAAAATAGTCCCAGTCTTATTATTATTTTGATACCTAAACTATTCCTTTGCAACCGCACATTGTTTAACTTTTTAACAAAGTGAAATGACCATTCATGACAAGCTGATCCCTAAAAGGTCAGATGTAATGGCTTAAAACAGGGGTCACTGGAGTCAGTCAGACTTGGCTTCTCACTGTGGCTCAACGTGTGTATAATCTGGAGTTTCCCAATTTCTTAGAATTTTAGTTTCTTCATCAGTTAAATAGGGATAATAATAGCATCTACCAATGAAAGAATAATCTTGAGCACTTAGCACATGCTTGGCTCATAGTGAAAAATTAATAAATGTTAGGCATAATAGATATAAATAATAACAATTATTAAAAACCAGTGAGCAAACCCCATATTAGCTAAATTTCTAAATCTCTAGGATTCTATACCCTTTACTTTCTTTATAAGAAACACAACTAAGCATAATAACTTATATTAATAGATTCCCTAATTCTGAGCCAATCTTGCATTATTGGGATAGATCTCACTTGGTCTTTTAATTTTTTATTATTTTTTTAATTTTTAGAGAGAAAGAGCATGTATGTGCAAGCAGGAAAGGGTCAGAGGGAGAGAGAGAGAATCCCAAGCAGGCTACATGCAAAACCCTGATGCAGGGCTTGATCCCACAACCCTGGGATCATGACCCAAGACAAAATTAAGAGTTGGACACTCAATCAATTGAGCCACCCAGGTGCCCCAGCAGTCACTTTTCATTCTCCTCTCTCCCTAGCCCTTGGCAACCACTAATCTACTCTTTGTCACTATGGATTTACTTATTCTAGACATTTCATGTAAAGAAAATCTATAATATTATCTGTGAATGGGTTACTTCACTTACAATGTTTTAAGTTTTATCCATGTTGCAGCATGTTTCAGTACTTGTTCTTTTTATGGCCAAATCATATTCCATTATATGGATATACCATGCTTAACTATTCATTGCTTGATAGACATTTGAGCTGTTCCCACTTTTTGGCTATTATAAATAGTGCTGTTATAAACATTTGTGTACACGTCATTGTATGGATGAATGTTTTCACTTCTCTTAGATATATATGTAGAAGCGGAATTGCTAGGTCATGGGGTAACTCTGTATTTAAAATGTGATGGATTTTAAGCAGTTTTCCAAAGTGGCCACATAATTTTACAAGCCTACCAGCAAGTATTAGAATTCCAATTTTTCCATACCCTTACCAACATTTGTTATTGCCCATCTTTTTTATTATAGCCATTGTAGTGGTTGTGATGTGGTATCTTGAAGTGCATTTTCCTGATGGCTAATGATGTTGAGCATCTTTTTATGTGCTTTTTCCCATTTGTATATCTTCTTTAAAGAAATGTCTGTTCAAATCATCTGTGCATTTAAAACCGAGTTGTTTCTTTATTTTTAAGTTGTAAGAGTTATTTTAATATTCTAAATAAAAGGCTCTTTAGATATTTCATTTGCAAATACATTCTCCCATTCTGTAGGTTGTCCTAATAGCAATTTATGTTTAGGCAACACTTGAATTACTCAGGGAAAAAGCTTAGGTATGGATGTCATCCAAACTCTTTACCTCTCTTCTGGATTTATTCCAGTTTGGAAGTAGTGCTCACAACATTCTCTATAAGGAGTGCATAGAGGAAGGAGAAAAAACCCACAATGCCCAGTAGAGAGTATGTGCTCAATTAACTTTGGCAAATGAATGAATAAAATTTACGTATTTATTCTTGGTTCCTACCACTACTCCAACTAATTGAATCCCTTTGCTGGATCCACTTTTAGAGCAATGATATTCATTTCATGGCCTGAAGGCCTGCAGGGGGAGCTATGAGGTATTGAAAAGATGTACCTGTTTCCATGTGGATGCTCTCAGCTGTCTGTCTACTCTACATTAAGTGCACTGAAGTGTAACACTGTCATATGGGAGTCAACAGATTTTTCATGGTAAAAAGCAGTTTCATGTTCTACTTTTTAAGTTTGAGACTCATGGGTTTAAGAGAAAGAAACAGCTGTTTTTGTCAATGTTGACTCTATAGTGTTTTCAATAGTCCTGGGCATTCTTATGTCATTTATACTGTGATTGTTTATTTGGAGCTTCATTTAGGGACTTCACTTACTTCTAGACTCTTGACCTAAGAGTGGTTCCCTCAGTGAGGTTCACTGTTCCCTGGACCAAGCAAAAAACTGTGGGGAAATGGTTCTGATGCTGTGAGGGAAAAAGGTCACATCTACCTACTTGTCATATCAGTTGAATTCCCTTGGGACACCTTGGGGGAAGAGATGATCCCAGCCAGGCTGTCTGCATTCCCGCATCACTTACAACTATCTATCAATGTCATTTTGCAACTTACATTTAACATAATCCCCTTGTACATCTGGAGTGTGGACTCACAGGAAGAATCATAATGATTCAAAAATGGGAAGAATCAAAGGAATTCTAGTTAGGACTGTGGGTAAAACTAAGAAATCAACGAAGGGATATGTATGAAGGAAACAAGCTGAGTAAAGGAAAAAGAACAATGGAAAGCAAGACACTTTTTTGTAACTGGATATAAACAAGAGTCTAACTTTACACAGGCAGAGTTGGCTGGCCTGCTAGTGTAACTGAGCTTAGCTACCCATCTAGTGCACTCACTCGGATGGGATGACTGTGGGCATTATTTGTACGACATACATATGTATGCAGATACCTGCCAACTAATGAAATAGGACACACTTAGGGCACCTGAATGGCTCAGTTGGTTAAGCATCTGACTCTTGATTTTGGCTTATGGGTTCTGGTCCCATGTGGGGTTTTGTGCTGACAGGACAGAGTCTACTTGGGATTCTCTCTCTCCCGCCCCCTCTCTTTGTCCCTCCCCCACTCATGCTATCAAAATACATAAACTTAAAAAAAAGAAATAGGACACCGTTATGAGCATGCAAAGCTGTCACATCAGAGGGGGGGGGGGGGAAGAGTTTGTTTGTTTGTTTTAAATAGTGGTCTTAGGGAGTTAATGTGAAAGAGCTTTTTGTCTCAGTCCAGATTGAAGAAAAAATTTTTTCATTGAAACATCCACCAATAATACCATTTTATAGTATTTATGTGATGTTTTTTCTTCTCTCATAAGTGGGAACACTTTTAAGGTTACCTTATGGCTCTTCATAGCAAAATCCTCCTGAAGGAGAGAAGTATTTTAACAAACAATGTTCCTGAGGTTCAGAGGTCAATTGACTGTTCTGCAGTTTTGGGGAGAAGAGATAGGTCACTGATAATTAGATCTCTGTTTGGAACCAGGACTGAATTAGGCATTAAACATATGTAAATTCCTTTAATTCCTGTAAGAATGCTATGAGGTAGGTGTTATTGTTATAAACTGATGGGTAAAAAAAATCACCCTAATCATTGAGTTAATAATGGTAGAATCAAACCATATCTGTCATATTCTAGAGTCATGCTCTTAATTGCCAATTTTAATTGATTAAGGGAGGTTGCCTGGAGAGGATGTGTGGAAGGAGTCTAAGACCATGCCCAGTTGCTCTAATGTGAGTAGGATGGGAGGAGTGGTATCTAATGCAGAACCCAAGGCATCATAGAATGAGTGATTTGGGGGGACAGGCCTCACTTCTAAGGGACTAACAGAATACTTTCTGTTACACAATGGTCTATTATTTGAGGGAGCTAAGGAAGGACTCTGTGGAAGGAGAGTTCTTTACAACTGTCTTTTTTTTTTTTTTAATAAAGTAGGCTGCATGCCCAACCTGGAGTTCGAACTTACAACCCTGAGATCAAGAGTCACGTGCTTTACTAAGTCAGTCAGATGCCCCTACAACTGCCTTTTGATAATACGTTTCCTTTCCCTCTCTCCTAGTGAAGGAAACCAGAATGTCACACCCCAAAGTACACCTCTTTGACATACAAATTGTTTTGAGCTAAAGGCAATTAAGCAACAGCAAATGCAGAGAAAGCTCTCTACCTTGCTCTTTTCTGCCTAAAGAGAGGATATGAATTCTCCTTTCATTGGAGACAGACTCTTATCATCCCAGAGACAGCACCCCAAGAATCTGCCAATAAACCCTACTCCGTTAGTTGCCTCCCATAAATTTACCTTCCTACAACTTGCTGCTTTTGCAAAGCCCAAGGGCTTCCTTCGTCCTGTCATCTCTACAAATTTACTGAAGATGCTATATAAGCTGGAGTTCTAAGTTGCCACTTCCAGTTACCTTTCATGAGGTTTTTTCCCATGTGACATATGCTGCACAAGTTAATAAACTGTTTTTCTCTTGCTAATCTGCCTTTTTAAGAGCTTCAGCTGAAAACCCAAGGTGAGTAGAGGTAAAGTTTTGCCTCCTCTATACTAGCTATGGCTAATTATCTCCCTCTTCTTCCCCCTCTCTAGTAGTACCTACATGCTTCTGAATTTTGCAAGTTTCCTTCCTTAAAATGACATTCTCTCTTTTCTTGAAACATATTAGTGAAGCATGGAATGTAGCAGAAATATAATTGCCATGTGAGTGACCAATCGACGTATGATAGGTAGATTCTAGACAAGGATTTGGTAGTTTTGATTGTCATAGACAGATGAAGGCAGGATCAGAGTAACACTCTCAATGAAAGGATGAAAACATTTAACCAGAGTTATATTACAAACCACAGTTTCTGTTTTAGTTTCTGAATGTCAAATATTCCTCAGTTTTCTGCTTTTACATCTGTGTTTAAAGTTTCAATTTTCAGGATTGGGTTGAGAGATTTAAATTGTTGATATTTGCATAAAAATCACTTTCATTTTCTTTTGTAAAGTATAGCTACCATGTGTATATCTGTATTTTTCTCTATTAGATTTTCACATAAAGAAAAACATTAGCCTTACACTGGAATCCTAATGGGCTCATCATTTTTGAGAGTGAAAGCTGTAGAAACCTCTGGATCTGAATCCCAGTTAGTTTCCAACTTACCGCACCATTTCACTTTCCAGTTACGATTGGCATCAACTCCACGGCAGCGAAACCTTGAGTTCCTTGACCTTGTTTTTCTCCAAAATCGATCCTAGATGCAATTAAGAAAACAGGTGCAGAAAAGAATACTTAAAAGGCTATCCACATACATTTAGTAGCCGTGAATGAATCACAGCACTGCAGGGAGAGTTCCTTGGGAACAGACAAATCCAGGAAGAAGAAAGAGGACTGAATTAGCAACAGAGACCCAGGTTCATGCTCCAATTTCTGTCACACACTTGTTAGCTTCTCTTGGCCTATTTCTTCACAAGCAAACTGAATAAGCTGGACTAGTCTAGTGATTTTTCACAATTTCTTTGGAAGGAGAAATCTTTACTTATGTGAAATCTTATGCACAGACAAACATATAAGCAGAAGGTTGTTTCTATGATGGGAGAGGGAGTGGAGGTCCCTTTTGTAGTTCTGGAATCATTAGGCTGTCTGCCTACCAAGCTTCTTTCCTCTTCTATGACTGTTTTCTATTTATTCCATTTCTCTTTTCAATTGGATAGGCAAAGCGACTTACACTGGTCCAGCTAAAGTGGTATCCATCAACGTTAAATACAGGCATGATATAGAAATACAGATGATTCAACATTTTTCTCATGATTGGGTCACTCCTATATGTTAGAAGAGCCTAAAAGACAAAGGTGATATTTTTCTTACAAACTGATCTCAAATACAGATTTAAAAAAAATATATGAAAATCCTCCCATGGGAAATACCAAATATGTTGGGTTAAAAAGTAACGAGCTAGGGGTGCCTGGGTGGCTCAGTCAGTTGAGTGTCTGACTTCAGCTCAGGTCATGATCTCATAGCTCATGAGTTCAAGCCCTGGGTCAGGCTTTGTGCTGACAGCTAGGAACCTGGAGCTTTCTTTGGATTCCTTGTCTCCCTCCCTCTCTGCCCTAACCCACTCTCATTCTGTCTCTGTCTCTCTCAAAAATAAATAAACATTACATTTTTTAAAAAATAACAAGCTAATTGAACTATATATACTCTGTGACATCATATACTTTTTTTTTCTAATTAAAAATTTTGTTATTTTTAAAAAGTTTTTATTTAAACTCTAGTTAGTTAACATACAGTGAGATATTAGTTTTAGGTGTACAATACAGTGATTCAACACTTTAAAAAAATTTTAATTTTGAGAGAGAGAAAGAGAGAGAGAGAGAGAGAGACAGAGTATGAGTGGGAAAGGGCAGAAAGATTGAGACACAGAATCTGAAACAGGCTCTAGGCTCTGAGTTGTCAGCACAGAGCCTGATGCAAGGCTCAAACTTGGGAACAGTGAGATCATGACCTACACCAAAGTTGATGCTTAACCAACTGAGCCACCCAGGTGCGCCATGATTCAACACTTTGATACAACAGCTGATACTCATCACAACAAGTGCCCTCCTTAATCCCCATCACCTGTTTAACCCATCCCACACCCACATCATATATTCTTTATTGAGATTTTTGTGCCAAACTTTTTGTTACTTATACATTTTAGCAAAGGTAGCTAAACAGATTAATTGGGTGGCCTCTAACAGTATTTCAGAACTGGCTAAATTTTAGGCTGATGAAGAAAGCAATTATTCAGATATGCTTTTGTATAATCAGTTTTTTTAAAGATTACATTCCATTTTGGACAAAATAATTACCCAAATATTTTGGTGTCCTTACATGATATTTCATAACAAAAGCTATTTATATATGTCACTTAATTGTTTATGTCTAACTGGCACCAGACTCAAGTCTTCAAATTTATTGCACTGACACTGTTCTCTCCTGATTTAAAAAAAATTTTTTTAAAAATGTTTTTATTTGAGAGAGTGACAGAGCATGAGTGGGGTGGGGGGAGGGGACAGAGAAAGAGAGAGGGAGACACAGAATCAGAAGCAGGCTGTAGGCTCTGAGTTGTCAGCACAGAGCCTATGAACCATGAGATCATGACCTGAGCCAAAGTCGGATGTTCAACAGAGTGAGCCACCCAGACGCCCCACTATAAAAAGTTTAATAAACATTATAACATTTCTATCATTTTTATCATGGCTGTTTTGAAATCTTGCTCTTATGATTGGGCTTTACTTATATTGTGTCTGGCCCCAAGTCTGAAGATTCTGGACTACAGGTTTGGCCTCAAACAAAAAAACCGAATGTGCTAAGAATACAGACATTTTGAAATACTTTTAAAACAATTCTTTTTGGTGCTTATTTGTCCATGTATAGAGTATCTCAGAGAAACATAGGAAATTTGAAAATGGCTGCCTCTGGGGAAGGGACTCATGGGAAAGAGAATTACCTTTAATATTTTATCTATTTGGATCGTTTGAATTTTTACCATATTAAAGACAAAATTCAAATAAGAGAATTCTTAAATTATGTATATACTGCCTTAGAAAATTTAATACTTCAATTTTTTTACCTATAGTTAGGATTTCTGAACCCATCACAAACAGCATCTGCATCTATATAATAAGAATACTGTTCATAGAGAATAATCCAATATATTAGAAACTATCACTAATATTCAAAATAATGAATATAGGGATATGATTAGGAATATAAGAGTTATGGGAATGCAAACTGGTGTAGCCCCTCTGGAAAACAGTGTGGAGTTTCCTCAAAAAACTAAAAATAGAACTACCCTACGGCCCAGCAATTGCACCACTAGGTATTTATCCAAGGGATACAGGTGTGCTGTTTCGAAGGGACACATGCACCCCCATGTTTATAGCAGTGCTATCAACAATAGTCAAAGTATGGAAAGAGCCCAAATGTCCATTGATTGGTGAATGGATAAAGTGGTATATATAGAGATGTCACTGAGTACATTTACAAATCAAAAAAAGAATGAAATTTATGTACATGGTAAATTATGTGGATGGAACCAGAGGGTATTATGCTAAGTGAAATTAGAGAATGACAAAAACTTACGACTTCTCACCATATGAGGACTTTGAGACAAAAAACAGATGAAACAAGGGAAATAATAGCGCAAAACAGGGAGGGAGACAAAACAGAAGAGACTCAAATATGGAGAAGGAACAAACTGAGAGGGTTACGGAGGGGTTGTGGAGGGGGATGTCTCAAATGGGTAGGACACCATGAATCTACTCCCGAAATCATTTGTTGCATCCATATACAACTAATTTGATGTGTTTGGGTGTGACATAAATAGGAGAAGCTGTCTGTCATGGGGTCATCTGGAAATTGGGTGTGTGTTTCCCTGAGTTCGCATGGTTGTTTAGATGGTTGAGCTATAGCCATTTTCTGCTCCTCCCCATGCTTGTCTCTCTCTGTCCCAAAAATAACAAACTGCTGAAAAAAAAAATTAAAAAAAGAATAAAAAATAAAACAAGTTAAAACAAAGAATATAAAAGTTAAACAATTTTATTGAATATAATTTAAATATTTAGGGGCTTAACACAAGTTGACAAATGCTAATACAATTTTCTCTTCTCCTTTAAGGCTCAGTTGTAATTTTTTGGCCACATAGCTTTGGTAGAACTTTTATACATGCTTGAATTTCTTTTTTAAAAAAATTTTTTTTTCAACGTTTATTTATTTTTTCGGGACAGAGAGAGACAGCATGAATGGGGGAAGGGCAGAGAGAGAGGGAGACACAGAATCGGAAACAGGCTCCAGGCTCTGAGCCATCAGCCCAGAGCCCGGCGCGGGGCTCGAACTCACGGACCATGAGATCATGACCTGGCTGAAGTCGGCCGCTTAACCGACTGCGCCACCCAGGCGCCCCTATACATGCTTGAATTTCTATTAACTGTCTAATGCCTCAAACCAGAGGAAAATTCCTGGTATATGATTGTTCATATCCTAGAATTTTGATTTCCTCTAATTAATGGAAGTTCCCCAATGCCTGGAGGAAGTCTACTGCTGGGGATGGCAGAGACAGAGCTATATGGTTAGCTACATTCCTTCCATAAGGTTAGGCAGCTGTGGTTTCTGTGCCACACTAGTGAAGAAGAGATGAAAGGAGAGAGAACTGAGGCAACAAGGCAAGAAAGAAGGTGTAGGAAAAAGTCATGGTAATTTCTCTCTCTCCCTAGCACTGGGGACTGTAGCTCATTTGTCTCAGTCCAAATGTGGGAAGTCTTACCTTTTCCAAGCATGGATCATGTTAGCACCTCAGCACCAGACTAAGGTAGAGACCTGAACGGTAACTTTCTCATCTTATTCTGCCTTCTCCTCTTCGAATGCAAGTGCCCATCGTGCTTTTGTATTTAAAAGAATACTAACTTCCTTCTTAAAAATTACATTGTAAGCAAATAAAAAAAGAACAGAGTATTACATCTATGTGACCAACTACATTTTGCCATATTTAATCTTTATTTTTTATTTTTTTAAAGTTTATATGTTTTGACAGGGAGACAGTGTGCATGAGAGTGGGGGAGGGGCAGAGAGAGAGAGGGAGAGAGAGAATCCTAAGCAGGCTCCGTGCTGTCAGCATGAGCCCAATGTGGGGGATTGATCCCACAAACTGTGAGATCAGGACCTGAGCCAAAACCAACAGTTGGACGCTTAACTGAGTTGCCCAGGCACTCCTATTAAATCTTTTAAAAAGAAGTTGAGATATTACAGATAAAACTAAAGCTCCCTTTTTATCATACCCTAATCCCATTTTCCCCTCCTCCACCAAAGTAATCACTATTCTAATTTTTATGTTATCATTCCCATACATGATTTTCTGTTTTGCCATGTATATCTATATACAGATATATAAATATATATATATATACATAGATTCAGGAACAGTATATAATATCGTATATACTTTGAAATTTCATGCAAATCATTATGTATCAATCTACAGTCTACTTTTCTCCCCAATATTTTTGACACTTGATTTATTCATTTTAACTGCACAATGGTATTCTATTATAGATAAATCCACAATATATTGATTCCTCATTTTGTTGATGGGAGAATTAACTTGCTTTGTTACAATATTGCAATGGACATTCTTGCACATTTCTCCTAGACATGTGTGAATTTTCTTTTTAATTTAAATTTTCATCAGTTAACATACAGTGCAATATTGGTTTCAGAAGTAGAATTCAGTGATTCATCACTTATATACAATACCCAGCGCTCATCACCTGTGCCCTCCTTAGTACCCAACACCCATCTAGCCCATCTCCCACCCACTTCCTTCCGGCAACCCTCAGTTCTCTAACATTAAGAGACTCTTGTAGTTTCCCACTCTTCTCTAGCACCCCCTTCCCATAAGCTCATCTGTTTTGTTTCTTGAATTCCACACATAAGTAAAATCATATGGTATTTGTCTTTCTCTGCCTGACTTATTTTGCTTAGCATAACACATTCTAGCTCCATCCATGTCATTGCAAAAGGCAAGATTTCATTATTTTGGATGGCTAATATTCCATTGTATATAATATACCACATCTTCTTTATCCATCTATCACTTAGTGGATATTTGGGCTCTCTCCATAATTTGGCTACTGTTGATAATGCTGAACATTGGGGAACATGTACCCCTTTGAATCTGTATTATTGTATCCTGTGGGTAAATACCTAATAGCGTAATTGCTGGATTACAGGGTAGTTCTATTTTTGGTTTCTTGAGGAACCTCCATACTGTTCTCCAGAGTGGCTGTACCTGTTTGTGTC